TTGAGCGCATATAACTGAACGTTCTCATTCTCTTCAACTCCTTTCTGTCCCTCCGTCTCATTCGACTCGTCCGCCGCTTCAGCAACTTTCTCAACTCGTTCGGGTACTTGATAGATCTTCCACTCGCCATGCAAAAACTCGCGAATACCCGTCTTGCTCGGCTCAGCTGAGGAAAGTATCACAAACACAAACAAGAAGATAAACTGCATTGGGATTATACAGTTCATCCGCATTTTCTATACAAAAGCCCTGTTTTGTGCTTGTCCATTACGGACTTTCTTATGGTTTTTGGTTTAATTAATGTACTATACTTTATGGTTGGGTGAGTAATTTTGGTTAATTAATGTATTATTATATTTTATTATAAGTGTCATAGGAAAGGTTTAAACTATAATTATAGTATGTAGTTCTTATGTATTTAAAATTACATTATTGTAGTTTTAATATAATTGTTTATACTAATAAATTAATATTATCAATTTTATTGTTTAAAATTAGTATTTATTTGGTTTGAGGTTTTAAAAACGGAATGATAACAAAATTATTTTAAAAAATTGAATTGTAAATTGAATTCTTTTGACAAAATAAAATTATAGCAATTTTACTATAATTATATATTCAAAATATAATAACAATATCTATTGACTAAAATAGATTTTAAAAAAAATTTTTGTACAACTAAAACCGAAAACGAACTTTAAAATTCTCAAAGCTAACGAGATGACATGTGTTGGAACGCCAACTGATTTGAGCGTTGAAAAACTGAGCGAGTCTTTGCTTCCAATTCTCCAAAAAAATATTTTAAAAACAATTCTCCAAATTTTTGGTGTTAATGACCAAGTCTCTGCTTTAACTTTTCTTCAATCTCACAACGTTTTATCAACCTCAAAAACTGATATTTACTCTCTTTTTGAGATCACTGATGATTTCGAGAATTATACCGCATCCCTAGTCGACAGTGCTTCTCAAAAAGAAGGCCTTTCCGACTATCTTAACACCTTGCCCAACGAGATTTTCCGGTACGCTCTTGAGAAGTTTCGCAACACCCAATTTTGCGAGCAGATATTAGTTTTGTTTGATTCGAAAAAATTTGAAACGGAAAAAATGAAAATTGTTTCTGAAAACTACAAAAACGAAATTATAAACCGAAAACTGGAACTTTTGAATTTTAATATCAAGATCTTAGCAGAAGACCTCAAAAATTTTAAAAAACAGGGAAAACCAGACGAAAGAAAAACGCTTGCAAAATTACTGGACGATTCAAAAGGAATGTTTAACTCTTTATTAAATGTAAATTCTTTAAAAGACGACGAGATTGAAATGACCCCCGTTTCACAACAAAAATCTCCCGAAAAAAATGAGAAACAATTGTTTAATAATTCCGGAACTATTAATGGTACTACTCCAAGAAATGCTAGTCTTAATAGTTCAGGTTCTACAAATAATAGTTCTGCAGATTTAAAAGGAAAATCATCGCCTAGTTCTTCAGAGATAATTCCACGGAAGAACTCACAAACTACAATACTTAGTCAGTCCCTCGTTGACACTTCCAAGTACCGCGGCGACTTTTTAAGCCCACGAATTAGTTCGATTTTAGGAGTTGAACAAAATTCAATGACCAATTCCGAGTTCCAGAATAATTACAAGATCCAACCGATATTTTTGAGTAATTACGAACGAATTAATGTTTTAACTTATTTAGATAAATTTAAGGAGTGGAGTGGAGGAAATTCGTATAAAGTGATTTTTGATTCCGACGTTGATGAGGGGACTTCGAACGAGATTTTTAATAACTTTGTGGCGAACCTTCCAAATCTCTTTTTTGTTGTTGTGAACGAACGAAGAGACGTTTTTGGAGCGTTTTGTAAAAATCCAATCACAGTCATAGCGAATCAGTATGAGTGCGGTGA